AGGGTAAGGTCTGCGTACAACTGACCCCCCAGACCCCAACCTGTTTGGGAATATACTGGGTATGTTGATGTTGATGTTGATGTTTTTTATATTCGAGTTCGGAACTGTCCTCCTTTTTACTTCCAACTCTAAAACTTTATCATAGTAATCTGAAACTCTCGTGTAGTGGTTGGAATAACTGAGTACATTTTACCTTTATAATTTGTAGGATCATTTGGCCCTAATGATGGAGCTTCTAGGAATGATGCCACGCAAGGTTAGTACTGTTTTATGTCTCGAGTAGCAATCCGACACGCTATATCCGAAAGGAAAAAATGTGCGACCAATTTGTATAGATTCGTTGGCCATTGTATGTAATCACAAGTTATTTCTTTCTTGACCAAAAAAATCCAGGTTGCATTGGGTGGGCGTTATTCACGTGAATTCTTCAATAGATTTGGTGATCTTAGACACATCAAAAGATTAAGATTTTGGCCTCTCAGCAAGGTCCTTAAAGAAAAGTATGAGTTCAACGAACAAGACGCATATGAGATGGCGGATTTCCTTGTTCAGATACTAGATTTCGTGCCTGAGAAAAGACCGTCGGCTGCACAATGCCTTAATCATCCTTGGATTGTTGGAGGCCCACGCCAAACTGTCCCTTCTGTGTCTCAACAACTGAAGGTAATTGAAAATGGTTGGAGTGAGAAGGATGAGAGAGAGGCAATGGAGGTCGGTGTGGGGAACATTGCTATTGATGGGGCAGTAAAATCTGCCGAAGATTCGAAAATATGATCGAGCCATTCGAAACGATCATAAAGCTGCTGGTTTTTGGTTCCATCTTTGACTAATGTGTGATGCCGGTGATCTCGAGTGAAGTTTGTTTTGAACTGCCATTTCCCTTGATCCCCAATACTTTTTCCATGATCTATTTTCAAGCAGGAGAATGGCAAAATGGGGGATAAAATGTTAGTCCCAACATGTTTCAACATTTGGCTCGCCAGTGGAGCATGAGTCAACTGTTGTTGGCATTTCCTTGCTTCTTTTTTTTCTCCATTGTTCCGTTGGGTAATATAAATTCTCCTCATAACATGTACATTGGATGTTGAAATTTGTCGGTTGATCTTCTGATGGACTTTATGTGTATTTGATGTAACGGTATCCTGAATTCCTGAGCAGTCACAAAACAGGGTCGGTGAATTTGATTGTTGTGCTGGTCAGGTAGTTCTAGTTGGCCTTTTGTTGTTTTTCTCGAGCTTGTTTTACGTATCTCTACTCTAGTATTTTTCATGTTTGTTTTTCGGTTTCTCATTAAATGTTTGTGTGGGGATCTAACCTGGACGGAGGCAATCTGGTATGCTCATATGGTATGCTCATATGAAGCTGAAAAGTGCTTTTATTTTTATTTATATCTGGGTTCTGAACCAATATTACTTTACACTTGTTTTCTTTGAATCTTACTGCCAAATCCTCCATTAATATAATGAATCTTGATAGTTATTAACCAGAAGCTTTGGGAAATTCATCTCTAATTATTTTCTTCAGCCACAAAACACTCATGGCTGTAATTTTTGATCAGATCCCAATACATGCAATCACACAATGGTAAAAACAAGAGTTTTTTTTTTTTAAAAAAAAAAAATAAACAACATAATTTAAAAATTAGAATATGAGGGAGATGCCAGCAGCCAACAAATCATCAGACAGGATCTTGTTTGCAGCTTCAGTAGGGTGGAAGCCATCCCAGAACACATACTCTGTCGCGTTTTTACAAGTGCCCGGCGACTTCGCGTTGCATAATATTGACGTCTCGACCAAACCGGTCCCACAACACGCCTTTCTGGCTTCGAAAAAACCTGAATAAAGTAAATCAAAACCTAGTTAAAAAATAGATTTTCCTCAGACTTGTGTCACATATCATAATAGTTACAAACTTCACAAAACACCTCAATTCTGATTTTGGAGAACCTTCTTTCTTAGTTAAAAGCCAAGAATCAGTTTTCCTTTTGTTTTCTTGTTTCGGTTTTATGTTTATGTCTTTACCGTGATCGGTGGTGTTAGTAACAAGGTCTAGAAGAGGTTGATATATGTCAAGAACGACAAGGTTGAGACTCGAGAGATTGGCTTGCAGCCTTTGGGAAGTAATGTTGAGCTTATTGTTGAACGATATTGCTGCTTTGTTGATCTTCTCGACGCACTCGTTGCTATCCTCTCCGAATATTGTAATCACGGCCGGCACACATCCGAGCGGTGGCAATGTCGTGACTCCAATTCTTCTTGCTCCCAAGCTATACAATTCCTGAACAAATAACTCAAAAAACATTTTTTTTTTCGAAATCAAACTAGAACGAGTAAACGAATTACAGAGTTGTGGTAGAGCCGAATTTCTTTTACCTTCACAAATTTGGTGTAAGACTGCAAGAGAATGTCCGAGAATTGTTCGGTACTGTATTTCTTGTACAGCAGAGGATTGATATAATAGTTCTGAACAAAGTCACTGCTTCCAGCACTCACAAAATGTATCGAGCCATTAACTATTGATGTGGCGTTAGGCTTTCCGACGAGCCCAATGAGTTTCCTCTGGTAGTCTTTGTACAGTTCCAACTGTTTACTTAAAGGAATCGTGTTCTACCAAAAACAAAGTCGCGATCGAATAACAAATATCAGGAAGTAGGTTTCAGATCATAACATAACAAGGGAGTTTTTATACTGTTAACTTAAAATCTTGTGCATGTACAACGTTGTTTTTCGACCCTTACATAGATTTCTGCAGTAGTGTCATAATAACCGGACGAGCCCGAGGCGAAGTTAGCTCCAACCAATAGGTTTTTGCCTGTGGCTTGCTTGCTCAGATAGGGTGGTGGATATGAGGTAAATCCCAGGTTCTCAGCTGCATTTAAAGAATATAAAAAATAAATAAATTTAAAATTCAATGGCCTAAGTAATAAATATATAATAAATATTTAACTATTTATAATTTATGTATCCCTTTCAACCTCATACATGTAGAGTACAAAAGTTGCTAACCAAATTATAAGTAGGCAAAAAGTTGTTGAGAAATGTGGGATAATATATAATACCAGTGTAGTCCGAGGCAAGTTTGCCGTTACAAAATCTGCCGGTTGGTTTGTGATCGATAAAATCTCGACCGTAAGGCGGGAAATCGGCTTTGACGATGGTTTCGAGATTGTTGTTATTGCCAACATCAACCACAGAGTCCCCAAATATGATTAGTGCAGGGACTAAAGGCTGTGCATTTGTCATGGCCAAGCAAAAAAGTATGAGGAAAATGTTGAAAATAATTGAATTTGTGATCATGATTGATTTCAATTGTATGCAAAAGGGCTAGCAAAAAATGTTTTTTTTTTTGTTTTCTTTTTTTTGTTTTTCTTTGTAGACAAATGAGAGGATGTGTTGAGGCTATGGTGTTTCAAAATATCAATTTAAAGAGAGTTTTATGGTGTAATATGCATGGCTGGCCTAATTGGTTGAAATGGGTACATCTTAGATTTTCTTGTGCCAATTCAAATCCAAATGTAAATCTCAACAAGTGAAGATAAAAAATGCAATGCTGCTGAGATACCTTTTTTGGTAATTGTTTTGCCCTGGATCTGAGATAATATTTTACAAATCTGTCTGATGGAACTATAGATAGTATCGTAATCGAACGAGCATCGGTTGAGCATTTCGAGCTCATGTATGATTATGTTCGAACTCTATTTGTATTCGGGTGCTTATTATTCGAGCAAAATTCATGTTCGAACTTGTTCCTTTAATTTATTTCTCAAAGTTCGAGTTCGTATAATTTAATACAACAATATATTTATTGAAATTGTAAGATTAGCTCGAGATCAATTTGTTCGATATTGTTGTAGCTCGAAAATCTATATATATAATAAGAATTACCATTTACCAAAAATAGTAACTAAAAAATTCAGAACATTAATTACATTCCTTTTTTAGAAAGTTTTATTCAGAACATTAATTACATTCCAAATATATATATATATATATATATATATATATATATATATATATATAGAAGTGCGCTCAAATGAGAATGAATCACAATGAAAGAAATAAGAATGATTGTGAACCATTAGATCTATTTCATCAATGAACATGATTAAGTCATCTTTCATAAATAATGGTCAATCATTAATGGCAATATAGTAAATAAGTGACAATATTATGATCAATTATGTGGATTTGATCACTAATTAAGGGTAAAGTGGACATTGTAAATAATAGTAGTCGGACCCACATCCAACGTCTCCCAAACTCACCCATCGTCACCTACATCTTCTTCTCTCACACACAACACGCTTAATTTACATAATAGCAGAAACACACACACGCACTCGCCGGTCACCGCCACCATACGACCTCACACTGGCGACCACCCAGTTCCGACCGCCGCCAAATACCACACCACGGTGAGATCCACCTGCCCGTCGCAACGCCACTGCAACCAGATCTGCCGGAATCAGCTCCGCCTCTGCAACCAGCCTTCCTGCCGTCGTCCTCCACACCGGTGACGGGGCCGACGAGGATGGTAGTTGTGGCTACCAATAGATGTGTTTTACGGGAACTATTTTTAGGAATCGCCACGCCGGACCGGCGGGGATGGCCGGCGGTGCTCGTTCACCGAGCTGTACGTCAGAGGCAGCGAGCGGCGGCGCTGTTCCGTTTGGGGAATGGAGTTTTGGGGCTGATGTCTTTCAATGGTGAATTAGATGTGTTTAGGGGACTTGTATGCAATTTTATTAACTTTCAATTATTTGCAATTAGGTACTTTTAAGGCCTTGAGGATTCAATTGCTGCTAACAAGCTGGCAGCGCTGTGAAATTGAATGTGGAAGGTGTGCAATCTCGTCTTTGGTTAAGGCCTGGTTGGGGTTTAACATGATACAAGCTTTAATTTAGCCTCTGTATATAAGAAAGAAGAAGCTTAAAAAATTATGTACACACAAATTTCTCTATCACGTAGCTTAAATTATTTATATTACATAATAATATATTCTAATTGATGATTTTATATTATGAAAATTCTAATAACTATGTTTTTGTAAAGGTTTATAAGAGTAAAATGAACGACAAATTGGAACTCACGTTCAGAATGGATATATCACATAGCTCACTTTAACTGTTACCATGTGTTTTATTGAATTATGTCCACACAAAGTAATAACTTTGTATGCTCCGATAAGAAATTTTAGAAATTTAGAGTGATTAATTGAAAGAAATAAGAAAAACCGTAAAAATAGATAATCGAATTGAAATTTTTGATCTCGATTGGTTTCGATTTATATTGTGCAAAATAGCAGTCATTAATTTGCAATTCGTACAACATTATCGTGCATTTACAGCGCATATATTTTTAATGGTTTGTTCAAAATCAAACTAAAACCGAAATTTGATCGCTTAATTGAATTACCCTATATAATCTAAATAACTTTTTATTTATACTATAAAAAAATATTTAGTATTTTAATTTTTATATTTAATATTTTATATTATTTATGGTTGAAAAGACATAATAATACAATACTGAAATCTATAATGTGCATTTTCACATATAATAATGTGCATTTCGTACCATATTATTTTGCATATATCGATCGGTATTTTTTATGTGCATTTTAATCCTATAAACTTTAATAATATATTTTTAATTAACATTATTTTCTATTTATCAATTTAATTATATAATAAAAAATATATTTAGTAGTTTTATTATCTTATTTACTATGTTATAGTAACGGTTCAAAACAAATAATATATAAATATATATAG